CAAGGCACGACTCGACCAGCCTTGACACAAGTTGACATGGCCACAAAGCATGGTACCGGAGTGAGGCGTGCCCTAGGCTCGGCCTCATTTCGACACGGCCTAGGATTGCTAGCAGGCCCACCCCTTCCTTTCTTTTCTGAAGGCGTGAGTCGCAAATCATCGATCAAGTACCGGCACCGTAAACCCAACCTGTCGCGGCCTGAGCTCGCCGATACATGTAAATGAGGCGCCTGGAGTGCGGCAGGGCATTTGAATGGGGTTGGTTTTGGGGGGCTTTCGGGGTTATAGAAGGGGGAGAGGGTGTCTGAGAAGGGGGGAGCGCGCGGAGGAGGCGCTGAGACAGCCTGCTGAGCATGCCACCCAGACTGCCAGGCCACCAGCGCTTTTTCTTCTCCAGGGGCGTCCGGGTAGACAGCAGTCGACGTTCAACTCCAGCTTCCAGTGAAGCCGGTGGCATCCCGTACATGTACAGCCAGCGTCGGGTCCAGCCTTGGGTCGGCGGAGATGCAGTAGGTAAGGTAGCAAGCAAAGACAAAACAAGAGGCTTTTCGGTAGTGCAGCCAGGCAATGACTTGAAGCTGGCGGTCTCTTTTGCTTCCCTTGCCTCGAGGTAGCAGCCGGGGGGGGCAGTGACACAGATCGAGCAAAGTCGCACGATTTAAGTTGCAGCCCTCAAAGTCACAGTTGCACCGTCACGTCGTTCAGCCAATGCGGAAGGGATGGTGATCCGCCTGGTCGAAAACGTGGTAGGAGCGCTTACATGTACATGCACGGAAAATGTTCAGCATGTTGAAGCGAAGAGGAGACATGGGAACCGCTGCCGGACGAATGGTCGAATGGGTCCTGTACTTGGGCTTGTTTGGAAGGTCGCATCTGCGGCTGTGCTATTATGCTGGGTAAGGTACATGACTGGGTGCCCTGTTCAGTGTAAAGGTCCGTGGGCTCAGGGTACCTTGTTCGTTAATTGGGCATGTGCTGTACATGTACATGGTAAGTGCATACATGGTACCATGTAGGCACTGTAGAGCCACGCTCCTCCATCGAGACGAGGCGCCGCTTGTCGGATCGGAGAGAATGAGGAGAAGGGATGATGGTGCGATCGGCTGCCAAAACTCTGTAATGTGCAGGCGTCAGCTTTCCAAAGGGTAGGTAGGTACCCATGCCGTCCGTTGTGTCGAGGCGCGTCGGTGGTGTGCAAATAAGGTGTGCGGGTGGGAGACCCCCTTATTTTTCTTCGCCCGGCCACCTTCCACTGAAAACTGGCCATTGCCATGTGGGCGCGAGGGGGGGTGAAAGAAAACGACGTGCGATCCAGCCAGTTCCTGCTGCAATGCGCGATCTCCCGAGGGCCACGTGAGAGTTCCAAGGACCAGATGGGACCCAGCTACCTTCGTACAGTACCTACGTACCGTGCTTCCTCAGCGCCTACCTCAGCACGTCCCGGACGAGAATACGTACCGAAGCACAGAGCCCCTGCTTGCCTTGGGCATCTAAGGTACCTGCCCAGGCGCCGTACATGGTACCCTCCCCATCCAGACAAGAGCAGCTTGTACTTGGTAGATGGCCCCCGTGTCGTACCGGGCAGGGACCATGCAGCAATCCAGTACGTGGCCTTGGCCTTGCCCCGCTCACCCCAGCGCTTTCCGTTTCGATTGGATTGGCGGCAGAGCAAAGGGAAGGAAGGGCGGGGGGGGAGGGTCATGTTGTTTGATGTCTTCTTTCCCATCCTTTCGGTGCCTTGCAGATCTCGCCAGCTCGCCCAGATGTCATCCTCCACAACCACGTTCCTCGACAAAAAAAGTCTCGTCCTCTCAGATCCATTCCCCCTATTGATGTGCGATGAACGATGTGCACGTACGCCGGCACCTCATGTGCACGTACGCTGACACCTCCCAAAAAACCTGCGCACAGTCACAAGCTCGTGGCTCTTTGGACTTCCTCGGCACCCCCGCTGCTGGGGAGTCGTTACCTCCCCTCCATCCCCATGGGCTATTGGGGGCTCCCACGATCAGTGGGCAGGGGCTGTTCCGGTTCCCGCTTTCGCATCCGGATTGTTTGTTTGATCAGCTTCCAGGATTGTGATGTTTGAGGGGGGCAGGGCGAACACCAGCACCTCCGCTCGAAAGCAAATCTCTGCTCTAAACGGAATTGCCAGGCAGTCCCGCTATCGAATCGACACCCTCCAAGAGTGCGCAAAAGAATCCATTCCAAGAGAATCAAGAGGAGACGGACGGCACAGACCCCAGCGTCTTTCCGACAAATCTCGGAAACCCGCCTAAGACTAATCCGCTTCATTACATAACCGCACCCTGTTTCGCTCTATCTGGTACTACGGAAACAAAACAAGACGGCGGGAATCGCCACGTCTGGCCTGACTCGTTTCCCGAATGTCATTCAGGGACTCAGCACCGAGGCAGCGCCGATGGGGAACACAGCGGAACTAGTGCCGAAGCCAGTGCTGACGCGCTTGTCTTGGCTCTAGGCACTGACCACCGTGGAATGGTGCCCTGAGGTACTGGGCACCGTGGGCACCTCGCACTACAGGCCGCGCCTACGGCAGTCAGTGAGACATGTGAACGGATCATCTCCTGGGGGCATCTCCACGTCATGAGTGGCAAGCAAGACCCCCGAACACCGGCTTCCAGGCACTGACCCTCGACAACCCGACATCCCCGACGCCTCAGCCTCTCAACGCAAGCACGCCTTGGTCTTTTTTTGGTGCCAGAGGGGACCACAAGCCGCCTGCTCGGATGCTCCTTCACAGCTGTCGCTGTCCGCTGTCAGCTGCTGTGCACCCGCACTCTGCCTGAGCTCAGGCACCTCCAGTCCCCGCCTCCTCCCAATAAGAAACGAAAAGAGCCCCCAGAAAGCACCGTCCAGGCAGGTGGGCTTCCCAAAGACACAACCCGGTCTCATCAACAACGGCAGCGTTCAATTTCCCCGTGCTCCAGCGTCCGTGGCCGGACTCTCTCTTACCATGCAGAACACATGGCCCGAACACCGTGAGCCTGGCTCGCTCATACCAAAGCCACCTTGACATGACGACTTGGAGAGATGGATCATCACCAGCACCCATGTAGGTAGCCCGCCACCAGGCATGCTGTTATCGGACAGATCTGGCGCCAGCCATCTTCGTCAGCTGTGAGGGGCGAGGAGGCGGGCGGCTCTCGTCCACGTGGCGCACAACCAGGCAAGAGATGAGCAGTGCATGTTACCTACCAATGCTGAAGGGATGCATATCTGTCCTAAAGTTATTTGGTCGAACTGGCATCCGTACATGCATGACCTGGGCCTAGCTGCTTCTGGATGCGGGCTGCTACAAACACTACTGCTGCATGCTCTATCACTAGTAGGCATTCAGCGACCTGTCAGGATTGTGTACTGTACAAGCGCTCAAGTACGAGTACGTGGCCAACCCGTGTCCGGTTCCCCGCTCTGGTCGCGCACCCTTAATCGCATATGGATATGATCGCCGCGACGGGCATGGAAGTCAAATGGAGGCAATGTCTCGAAGAAGCCATGTCGACTTGGCACACACAAGTAAAAGCATCGCATGGTTGCTGACCGTCAAAAGTCGGACATTCAGAGTTCGCCCCTACATATTTGCTGATCTGGGAACAGCAAACAATC